TTTAATAGAATTGTAAATGGTTTACCATATCATTTTAGCTCAGGTTGCAAGCTAAATGCATAATTAAATTATGCAATCTGATATTCGTTAGCAAGCTTAACCATCAACGTCGCTATTTCTGAGGTATATAAGACTCGATCATGTACTCCGCATTAAAATGTCATAGCCTGTTCGTTTATCCCATACTTACAAAAATATACTACAGCTTGTATATATATGGCCACTCCTTGGCAATGGTCTGCACCGTGAAATATTTACCATATATTGAAACATCCACACTCGTTTGGCAACTTCTCACATAAAAAAAAGCTTTTTCCCTAAAACAACAAGACCTAAGGCATACATTAAGAATAGATCGAATTTTATAATAAAGTAACATCAAAGGTAGTGAAATGCATCATTAAACAATGAACAAAATAATTTTGTTTACAGGGCTGTGACCAATATCACATAATTTACACCTTTTGTATTGTTTGATATTCATAAGATAGGATTTTGCAAAAAATTTCGTTAGCTCTGTATGCAAAAAAATTAGAATCAGTTCTCATTCCCAATTAATACAAAATGTTATATTGTACATATAACTGAAACTCCTAAATTCGTACATCGCTTCGCTCTAAATACGTCGTAATATTTGAACTTGAATATGTTTATGTGTGTGGCTTTGGCAGTCGGATTTATCGATCCGTAAATTTTGGGAGGTATTACTTGCTGTAAAAGAGACTTGATGTCTCATTAATTAAGGATTTCATATGCTACAATAATTTGGCACGTCTAGCAGAAATAAGTAGTACTTAGTGTGCAACTACCGATAAATTCAAGAATAACAAAACTGTATTTTAAATTATTAAGAGAAAGATAAGTTTCCAAGTTGTCAAGTAATCATTCCGAAATCGCCGTAGTGAAAAGATAAGTTTAAGACGGATTTACTTTCATTAACTTCTTTCCAGGCCGTTAAATAGATAATGATACAAACAAGGTCCGATACGAGAAAACGTTTGTTTACTACGTTTATATTTTATAATTATATAATATAATATATAATTAATAAAGAATAGAGAGTTTTTAAATTAAACTATATTTAGATTTTATCGCTTATATAATTTTAGATGTCAGTTTCAGAAGTTTCGAACTACTAATATCTACAAGAAACCAAAGTATTTGATATCAAGTAACAGTATATTTATGTCTCGTTACTGGGCAAAGACCTCGTCTGTACAGAGGGTAGTAATTCACATAAAAATTAAAATATTAGGGCATAGTCCACCGCGAATCCACCACGGATTAGCAAACTTCACATATCTTCGAAATATATATTTTTTTCGATTTTGATTTCTATAAGAAATAATAATATCACTAATAAAACATGTATTAAATGTTATTCGAACATTTTTCATGCAACCACTAACTTTCATATTTACTTCAATTAAAATGACCACACTTCTATTTCTCGTTACCGAAAGCCAAGGTAACTTCAAAGTAAAATTTCAAAGGAAAACGTTTTAATCATTTTAATGACGCTAAAAACTCTCATTGAAAGTTACAAAGCTCTTTAATAATTAAAGTTGTTTCTGCCTTCTTCAACGTTTCGCTATTTGATCCGTTTTTATTCGAAGTTATAGGACAGCTTTTGGTTTATGATGGGATAAAACGGAGTGATTATGCGTGGGGAATATATTACCACGGAAATACAACCTAGTTTAGGTTCTCCCCTCTGCTCTGCTGTTTCGATTTCGTCCAGCGCTGTTTCACGAGAGAGAATATACAATATATTTCTAAACTACAGCGTTGAAAGATGTGTACAAATTGTCCATAACACAAAAGTATGATTTTTAAGAAATAAAAAATATATATATATCTTATAATAAAAGTTTGTAATTGAACTCCTCCGAAACGGCTCGACCGATTTTCGTGAAATTTGGTGTGTATATCGGCCAGGGTGGAGAATCGAACATCTATTTTTCATCTCCCTAAATGTAAATGGTGGTCCAACCCCACAAATTTTTTCCACCCTCCAAATAGTTTATATGGCAAAACAACGTTGGCCGAGTCAGCTAGTATATTAAAAAGAAAAACAGTGAGATAATATTTTTTAATAAAAATAAATTTTAAATTTTAGGTTACAAACATTTTAGAAGCTTTACAGGAAGCTGTTTATTTGAAAAAGTTAGGTGCAGCACTTGATGAAATGTATTTTTTATTCTGGTAATTTAATGTAAAATTTTGTCATTAAAGCATTACTCTGAAAACATTTAAATAAAAAAATTCTGTCCTACACATTATGTAACAGTAATTACACGAAGGGCCGTCTCCCGTGATGAAATAATTATAATTAAGAGACTCTCGGCACCGGGTAATTAGGCTTGCCTCAGTAATTGAATTTTCTATTCTGTGATAACACCGAGGGTCATTTATAATTGGGACAGATTGACCAATAACACTGACATAATAAGAAGCTACAGATGTTCCCTAATTTGTATTTTATGAATATTCTTGTCTTTTGCCTCAAATTTTTTAATTTCTAATAAGTAGCCGAAGGATCTAAGCACTGGAATATTATGTTTTTTATGCTAAAAGTTCTCTGCTATATACATAATAGTATACGAGTATAACATAAAGTCGTCCCGCTGTCTGTCCCTATGTATGCTTAGATCTTTAAAACTACGCAACGGATCTTGATGCGGTTTTTTTACTAGCTAGAGTGATTCAAGAGGAAGGTTACATATATGATACATTGCACCCGTGCGAAGCCCGGGCGAGTCGCTAGTATATTATAGAGTAACCGCTGCTTATGGACATTTACAACACCTGTCGGCTGCAGAATCGTTGTCATCATTAAAATAGTCCAGTCACCTCACACACCTGACGAAACACGAAAGTATAGGATTTCATGCCTTCCACTTCACGCCGGTCTTCTGTGAGGTCGTGGTACATCCCCGGCCTGCCAATTCGTGCAACAACCGAAGCTGCTGCGTTGCCCCACAGTTAAAGGTTACATCTAATCGTATCTTGTATCTTGTATTAACTGATGTTTTTGCTTTCAGTCCCGACACTATTAAAGCTGCATCTGACGCAGAACCGGTGGGCTAGCCAGAACCCACGGGTTTGGGCCCTCCGCTGTGGGTAGGGCCGCGCATGTGCTCATGCGTGCGTTTAACTACGACATGTCATCTAAGGGCCATCGAAGTTGCGGTGCGGAACGAGACCCCGATGGCCGTCGACTGTGTTTTTAGCTGTGGGCGGTGAGAACCGCCCTGGAACGCGGGTGTACCTTGTGTACGCGTTGTGTTGGTCTCGCCGTGCTCGGAGGCGAGGGCGAACTATTGTGTTTGTTGGTACACTAGCTGTGGGTGTAGTGTTATCCGGCGGGACCCCCGGCGGTGGGTCCGGCGTATCTAAGTCCCCTTCCTCGACCGGGTCGATGAGGACGTTTCGCGGGCGACGCTTGTTGACGTTCGCGTTTGTGTCGGGTTGGTAATTTGCTGCGCTTACCACCAGAGGGTTGGGATGATGTTCGGCTCTATCGAAGAACCGTTTTGTCAGATCTTTGAAATATTCGCGAATCGTCGGGAGTCTGCAATCGCTGTGCAGATCGACGTTGCGTTGATACCACTGCGCACCGGTTGCACGGCGGACGAACTTATTTTGTACTATTTGCAGCTTGTACAAGCGAGTAGGGTGCGTGTGGGCGAAGATCATGCATGCGTAGGACATAATAGGTCGTACGCAGGTCTTATATAATAATAATTTGTGCCTTAAGGGCATTTTACTTTTAGCGTTAGTTAAATTGTGTAGCCGGCCGGAGACAAACGCGGCTCTATTACGAACGTTATTAATGTGCGTAGTAAATGACATACGCAAGTCGAAAGTGACTCCTAAGTATTTGACCTTTTTCTCCCAGGGGAGCGGTTGGCCATAAAGGGATATTTGCCCCAACTTTCTGCATTGGTGAGGGCCATTATAAAGATGTGACGGGTAAGTACTTCGTGTGAAGTGAATCGCCACACTTTTTTCGGGATTTATTTCTATTCTCCATTTGCGGAACCAATCGCCGAGGCGGTCGGCGGCGCTTTGGAATCGAGTGGTTAGTATTCTAAGGTTGCGGTCTGAATAAAAGAGCG